GGGCAGGGCAGGGACCCAGCTAAAATGCACATCTCAGGGCTCCTGTTTCACCCCAGGCTCCCCAGAGACCCCTTTGGGTGGTCTGTTCAGTCCTGAGGTCGCCCGTTCCCCTCACTCCCCAGAGCTCACACCCGGGGCAAGGACGCGGTGCACGTCCTCTTACCATAGGCACTCTCTCCATGTCTTGCCATCTTCCGTCCAACGATGCTAACCTGAAAGAGTTTGTTCATTCATCATTCGTCAAATAGGTGTAACTCACTACAACGTGTCAGGCCAAATCCAGGAGCTGGTGACACCACAGTGACAAAGTCATGGTGGTCCCCTGTGGTAACCAGGTGGACATCTGAACTTCACAACATCAGAAGTTCCCGCTTCCCCTGAACATCAGAACCGAGGGGAGAACATTGGAAGGGCCTGGGCTGGGTTGGCATGATGCTGTGAGAGGGTGTGATGAGCCTGGTTTTGTCTTTTCATGGACGTCAAATGCAAAGGGCAGAAGGGACATTGTAACACTTGTGTCAATGAGAAAGCATTAGATATTGTTTTCCCAGCTAATTCTCTGTTGCTGGCCAAAGCTGTAGATATCAAGTTTTCCCAGGAGGGTCAACAGCCAGGGGAGACTTTGGAAAATTGTGAGAACTAGAAAATTTGCTCACTGACTTAGGGAACCACTTGGGGTGGTTGGCCTGGGAGACGGACAAGAAAATTGGAATTTTAGTTTTGGAAATTGGAGAAGAAATGTATGTCGCAGGTGATCTGGAGCCTCTGACTCTTCTATCCGGAAGTCAAATCACGGTCCTGCCTCAATGTGTCTAAATATGATTGGTGGCCTCGAGAGACTGGGACACTGCCCTCCAACTCCTGACATCCTGCCACCAAGCCAAGGCTCCTCTAGGTAAAGTGGTTCCAGCCAATCAGGCAGCATTTAATACAGTGGAACATTTGGGGATCACCTAGTGCCTTCCCACCGTGCACAGCCCCGAATAAGAGCATAGCCATTAGGCTGCATGCAATGCCTGCNTTGTTGGGGAACTAGGCTAGGAAAGGACTTAGGCCCAGTAAGAGCCCGGGCAGCAGGCTGCAGGAGATGCCTGCCTGCTCCTGAACCAATGTGTGAGGCTCAGGGCGGCCTCACTCACCTGGGGGTGTGGAGTTACCCTTTCTAGGTGCTGCTCCCCTTTCTGGTACCTACTAGAATGGGGGTGCTCCCTCAGCGAGCATCTTACAGGCACTGGATTCTTCCCGGTCCCCACAGCTCCTGCCCCAGCCAGCTCCCTTCCCCTGCTGGGCTCACCGGTCCTGCAGAATTGGAGACAGGTCTGACGCTGGCCCCAGAAGCCCCTGACCTACTGCTGTCCTCCGGCTGTGAGTGCGGCAGGCTGTTCCTTCTAGTGCAGGGAGAAGTGTCCCGCCTCTCAGACCTCAGAGGGCAGGAAGCCCAGGGAGGTGGGGCCCAGGGGTGACAACTTAAAGAGACAGAACACTCGCCACTGAGGCAGTGGGATGGGGCGTTTCCACTGAAAACCTGGCTTTGGATGATGGTGCTGTTCTCAGGAGGTCCCTGTGCCACCAACAGCTTGTCCCCTGGGGGTCTAACCTCAAAGGAGAAGAGCATTTTAGGTTTTTGAGGAATGTTTTCACTTCTGGCCTTGAGCACTGATCTCAATTCCTTTTGCTCTTAGGCCTTTACCTATAAAATGGTCTCTTGAAAGCCTCCTTCCCTAGGACAGTGCCACCAAGGTGGTCCTAATGCCAGGACGTCACCTGCAAAGCCTCATCATTCTCAAAGGAAAGGGAGGCTTTCCCACTGTTGAAAATGGGACAGCAGGGAGAGGATGGCCCTTTCCTTCGGGGCTCACTCTGGCCATCTTTTAGGTCTCTCCCCCCAGAGGGTCACGGGAAAGGTGAGGAACATAGCCAGTTACCTCGGGAGGGGGGAGGGAGGGACAGGATGATGGTGATGGGGGCCTGGCCTGGTCAGGTCAATAACAGGAAGGTGAC